GCATCTCTGTGTGGAGTTTGCAGGTTCTTCCCATGTTCGCGCGGGTTTCCTCTAGGTGCTTCCCTGCAGTCCAAACACATGCGCTGTAGGTGTATTTAATAAACTAAATTGCCCATATTTCATGAGTGTGAATGAGTGTGTATGGGTGTTTCCCAGCACTGGGTTGCGACTGGAAGGGCATCTGTTGTGTAAAACATATGCTGGAATAGTTGGTGGTTCATTTTGCTGTGGTGAGCTCTGAAATAGAGACTAAGCTGAGGGGAAATGATTGAATGTCTGTTTATTAATTATAAAATACATATTCTCTATTATCTACATCCCTAATCCTACCCAATACCTGCAGTAAACCCAACTCAACAAGAGTGCATTGAGGCATGAGACATAATCAATTGTTTGTTAAAGTGATAGTTCGCCTAAAAACGAAGCTCCTGTCATCATTTACTCACCCTACACTTATTCCAAACCTGTTTTACTTTCTATCTTCTGTTAAAAACAAAGCAAGATGTGTTGAAGAAAGCCTAAAACCTGTAACCATTGACTTCCATACTGTTTTTTTCTCACTGAAGTCAATGGTTACAGGTTTTCGGCATTCTTCAAAATATCTTTTTTTGTGTTCAACCCAAGAAAGAAACTCTTTAAAGGATTGCAACCATTTGAAGGCGAGTAAATAATGAGTAAATGTCCATTTTTGAGTGAACTACCCTTTTAATAGCGAGTATTCATCTGAAAATATATCAGATTAAATACATATAGCTTCTTTCTTTCAGTTTCTCATCGTTCTTATGTCCATTGTCAGTTCCTGCAATAATTCAAAGAAGGATCAACAGAGAAATAAGTTAATAATTAAAGTTAAATTGAGCTAAAACCTCAACATGGTATTGAAGAGCAACACAGCTGTCCTTTCATTAGTTTTGCCATTGCATTCCTTATTCAATGCTGTGTTGTTTTGTGGGGCAGGAGAGCCCATTCCTGACCTTCCTCAAAACAGCTGAATGTTTCACTAAAGACTCATTAGAAACACGCCCCATGACTGAAGAGCACACATACATATACACTCTGTCCCTCCCAGACATGCCGCTCTGCTTGTGTTTTCACCTCCGCGTGTGCATTCGCTCTGTTGGACGCAGGATTATTAATGTGTGATGTGTTGGAGGAATGGCATGCAAGGGAACAGGTGTGTTTTCATTTTATTTCTCATCCTTTCCCTCACTCTTTCTGACACTTTTAGTTTCTCTCTTATTCTTTGAATGAACGATTGAGAAAGGAGTCTGTCTGTTTGGGTTTTCGTCATGTTGGTTTACTTAAAATGTGTTTCTGATTCTGATTTTGCAAACTGAGATTGGATTTACCACATTGTTTTTAAGGTAAGTGTATGGAAGTTTTTTCCTAACAAAATAAAATGAAAATTCAAATGCTTAAAAGATCAAATGATAAATCAAATGCTCAAACTATAAATCAAATGCTCAAACCGACATTGCAAATGATAAATCAAATCCTCAAACTGACTCTGCAAATGATAAATCAAATGCTCAAACGGACTTTGCAAATGGTGAATCAAATCCTCAAACCGACTCCTCAAATGATAAATCAAATCCTCAAACTGACATCGCAAATGGTGAATCAAATGCTCAAACAACTCTGCAAATGGTGAATCAAATCCTTAAACGACTCCGCAAATGGTGAATCAAATGCTCAAACTGACATTGCAAATGGTGAATCAAATGCTCAAACAACTCTGCAAATGGTGAATCAAATCCTTAAACGACTCCGCAAATGGTGAATCAAATGCTCAAACTGACATCGCAAATGGTGAATCAAATGCTCAAACAACTCCGCAAATGGTGAATCAAATCCTTAAAC